CCCCAAAACCCCAAAACCCCAAAACCCCAAAACCCCTAATCTTGGTTGGCTATTGAAATTGGATAATTTATAAACATATGATCTGATGGGTAATAATCGAATTTATATCGAAATTCCCATTGGATTATTTTTAACCCTCTTTGTGAATCCTTCAAAGGCTTCAGTTTGAACTGGATTTGTAGGTACATCAGACAAGTATTTTTCTACTTCAGAATAAAGCTTTTTCGGACCTTCCCTGATAACTTCTTTAGCGTCTTCTATCCCTCTCTGCATAAGTCTCTCGTTGTGCTCCTCACTGAAATTTATTGGAACCCATTCGTTGTCCAATGGTTTATTTGGGACGACCAAATATCTAAAATTAACTCTCGGGAAGTTGGTAAGAGCGTCTGCTATCCATCTCATTGATTCTCTGTACTTCCTAATCTCTTTAAATCTGAGATAGTTGGAGATCGAATTATATTCAGATGTATCCTCTTTATTGATTGTATTTCCATTGCACATAACGATATCAATGGTTATTTCTTCATCTACGTCAGCAGTTTCTTTGCATCTATCGACGGCTCCGGCGACATCAAGCATCATTGCAACCCCTCCATCATAGAGTGTCATATTTCTGAACTCGACAGGAGGAAAGGCTCCAGGAATTGCTGCAGAGCCTCTTGTTGCTTTGAAAGCAAGATCATCAAATTCAAGCTCCTCAGTAAATCTGACAAATTGGCCTGTTCTAGAATCGACAGCTCCGACAGATACTTTCTTCTGCACATCTTTTGTAGGGACTACACTGTTGACATAGTCCACAAAGACAGAGGTGTCAAAGATGCCGCCTTCGTAGAATACTCCTTCTAAGATATAGTAAGGCCAATTGACAAAGACTTTATCTCTCTGCATTCCTTTCCAAAAGTCCACTATAGGAAAGGATTAACTTAAGAAAGAGGTAATTTTTAGATAAACTAGGTAAAGCTTACTCAGCCATTTAGTGGCCTTCTCTTCTTCTCCAGGAGGGTAAAGAGAGTATGCAACAGCATTTACTGCTCCAACTGAGATACCTGAGATTACATCGTAAGTGGTCTCATTGGAGCCGAGTTCTTCATACATTCCTCTAATAGCACCTGCTTGGTAAGCTCCTCTGTCTCCACCTCCTTCAAGGACGAGGGCTCTACAAGGAGCTCCTTGTACAGAAGCTGAAAGAAGTAGGACTATAAATGGGATTATAATGTTCATTAACTGAATGATAATTAATTACACTGACGTATTAGTAATTTATAGCTACGTGGAGCGGGGTTTTGGGGTTTTGGGGTTTTGGGGTTTTGGGG